ACCCGCAACTCAGATCGAACACAGCACCTTGAGCTTAGAGGCCACGAGCTGCCGACGGGCAGCCAGATAGCGACTGGCGCCCTCCACAACGAAGACTGAAGGACAACAACTTGGCTGTTCCCCTTCCCCAACCCCCCAATAAAATCATTAAAGAAAAAATCTTTTCCAGGGCAATACAGCTCTGTCAACACAACCAACAAATGGTTTTGAAAAATTGAGCCATGAATCAGTTGCTCTGATTAGCCAGCCGCCGATAGTTTTTCTGGCATTGACTTGACCAGTCACTCTGGCATCAGGTTCAGGATCCATATTAAGGAGGAGCTTTATCAATTATGTGATAACCTCACGTGCCAAGTAAGAGGAGGTACACAAATTCAAGCCCTGCTTTCAAAAGTTTCAGGTGGTAAGACTAATTATTCAAGGATAAATTTAAGGACAAAATTAATAATGAACAAATGAGATCAGGACTAGGTCCCACAGGGAAGTCACACACTGCCATGTGCTGACGACGTTTGCAAGTGGGAGGGTGCATGCGGCTCGTCCCCGCTGACCCGGCCCACTCCCCTGGGTGGTCAGGGGGCTCTGGACTTGCTTTGGGGAAGAGGGACGGCTCGGCTTTTCTACAGCATGATGTGATGCTGTGGGAGTTTCCTGGACAACTGCAGTGCTCAGTAAAGGTTACCAGCCCTATGTGCAAAATGCTATTTGAAAGATGATTTTCTCCAAAGTAGCGCTAACGTTAACCAGTTTGCTTCCAGGAACACTGAGAAGTTCCTGAATCAAGACGTGGCATCCACCCCAGCATGTCCCGTTTCTGTTGAATGATTAAGGAACGTTAAGGTCTACAGTTTAAAACTGCCAATTAAAGAAGGCGCTTTCAAAAAAATCACTATCTTAGGATTTCCCATTCATTGGCTGAATTCTTGGCACCTGAATTCTCATTCATGGAAAGCTCCCCCGAATTTTGTTTGTTTCAATTATGAAGCATTTTGATGGGGCACTGGGCACCAGACAGATCTGAAAATGGACTGGCAATAAATTAAAAAAAAAATTGTTAAATGTTAAGACTCCATGATTTTAATTATCTACTGATGACATGTCCTAATCTTACTATGTGAAATGTTCAATGTAATAAAAAGAAAAGATGGAAGGTTTAAGATGGTTCTTTTTAGTAAATTTCTGAAGACTTTTGTTTTGAAGCCCCAAATATTCTAAGGTATCTATAATTGATTATATTCTAAAAGGAAAGAACATAGATATTAGTTCTTTCTGATGGTACAGACCATCAAATAAAAGTTGATCTGAGCTACTGGAAGTCCACTTCTAGATTTTGGAAGTAAATCTTTTTTCTATATGCTAAGCGAATCCTGAAGGACAAACATAAATGTGGACATTTTTGGTTCTATTTATTCACTCTCTTCATTACATCTAATGAAACTTCACCACAACAGGTCTGTCACGTATCGTTCTCTTGGATCAAAAAGTGGATGCTCCTGAAAAACGAACACCCTTCTAGTGTTTTTTAGACTTTCATTTGCACCCAAAACAGGACAAATGCCCCAGAACTCCATTAACGTTTCTTGCAAATCGGATAATCAAATTGCCTGGATTTCTGTTACTGGAAGTCAAACCAAGTACCTCCGCCTTCAGGAGAAATTGGCAGAGTCCTATTTCTCTCAGTCCTAGGCGAAGTCCCACCCCCACCTCCCTTTTCTAAAACTATACAGTATGTTTATCTCCTGGCAACATCTGTGGCTTGGACTAATTTTTATCTCCTAAACACACACCTTGAATCACTGTTAACTGTTTGATGGACTAAGCTAACTGAAGGCTAGGTATACAGTAACAGCTTGACCCTTAAATACCTCCCATTTCTCCCTTTAAAAAACATTAACTGTGGAGAGGCAGCCTATCTCTTGAAGTGAACGGTAATCAGGAATCATGCTGCTGGTCCCCCCAAATTTAACTCACAAAGGTTTTTCACAGGTTCACAAGGTCTAGCTTATCACCGTCATTTAACTTTTATTAAAGGGTTGGGAGGAACATTTACAGCCTAGTGAGTTGAGAGAGGAGAGCCAGCCTGAGTTTGTGAGCTGTCTGTCACCCCCCCCCACGCCCCCCAATGTTCTAAAGCAGGTACCAAATACAGATCAGAGTTAAGAGACTCCCAATAATTTTCCCCCAGAAGGAACAGGTTCTCTCATCATTTACACAGGCAGGTTCTTGCAAAGACATCTGAGTGTGTAAGGACTCTGCCATATACATAACAGACTGTGCGCCTGCATCTTCCACACTGAGGGCCATGTATCATGTGCTCAGTGCATTCTGAAAGTGAAAAATGCTTGTGAGAATTAATATAATAACACCTTTTGCAACTCTCAGAATGTAAGATGCATATGACAATGAACAAATGCCTTTTCAAGCTCTGAGGCTGACATGCCAATTAGTGCAGTGTAATCTGAATCAAACTTGCCCATTTTAACACAATGCCCAAAAGCACAGGTATTCTGGTGTGACATCTCCAGTGAAGCCACGGAGCAGCCAGCTAGCTAAAGGACATTTTCATTACATTAGCTCCCAGAGTTTAATTCACAAGGTCTCCCAGACCTACTTTCCTTCTGGAGAATACAAAAGCAAAAGAGAAGTTTTGAAATTAAACGTGATTTTTCTTTCCCTTTTTATGTATTTAAAAATAATGAAAATTGATAACCTCAGGAAGGATACCAACCCACATGGAGGAGGAGACGAAGGCTCTAATACAAAAGGGCTCGATGGTTTCGGAGATGGGGAGGTATCCAGGCAGTACATGGACAACGGGAGGCAGGCACTTCAAACAGAATCAGAAATGGACAAACAGAAAGCGTGTTATTTTAAAGGAACAATCTCCCAGCTGCTACAGGAGAGCTCAGCCTGCCTGTGGCTGAGAAGCAGGTGATGGAAGGTTCGTTTGGAACCTGAAGGGCTGGCAATAGGGACTGCTCCCCAATCACTCCTTGAAGAGAAATTAAACTGAAGGACACTTAATCATTCTCTTACTTTGTTCTTTTAATCACCCAATGACAGTTAATTAGTTATCAGAGAATCAGAAAAACACTTGTGTGAAAGGAGATTTCTGGGGACCAGTGGTTACTAGGATCGGACACCTGTGAAGAGTTTATTTCAATTTCTCTGGGAGAGATCGATATATACTTGTGGCTAATTAATGCTTTTTCTTTTCATTCCCCAAAGTTTTAAAAAATGGCCCCGTGTGATAAGGGGACCAAAAAGAAGATTTTTATGGATGGGTTATATCTCAATTCCTTTGAAATTGAGCTTTTTCTCCTGAGAAATAAGACTGAGCGATATATGAAATATGTGTTAGATCATTGCTCGGTCAGGTTAATATCCAAAGCGTGTTCCAAGTAAAACCCTGCTCCTGACTTGAACATTCATCTTTGCACTTTATAAGCAAACCAAGTAAATGAAAACGTTTTTCCCATTTCATCGAGTATGGATCATGGATCTGAGATAGCAATTTGTTGGTGTTGAGGATTAAGCAGATATTGCATGAGAAGCAGTGCCACGTCAATTTCTGAGAGACTGATGAAAATGAGGGGAGAGGCCCCAGAAATGCACGAAGAATTGTGCCACGTCATTCATTCTGTTAATAAAACAGGTGGCTATAACTGAAGAGAATCACTCTCCACCTATAGGAAGGTGCATGAGAAATCCCGAAGGGAGACCACTGCCGAGGGCTGACGGGATGGGCGTTTGGGGCTAATGCAGTAAATGTCGCCACAGGGTTAGGGGCAGGGAAGCACTCTGCTTTCCCCCGCGCACCCAGACACCACGAAATCACCAACATGGATGGACAGCTTTGGCGGAAATATCGTGAAGGTCACAGATCTGCGTCAGCTTTTGGTAAAAGAAGAGAGGGCACGCATGCATCGCCTCTTCGGTAAATGAGTCAGGCAACTTTTGTTTTTATTTGGTTGTCGTGGAGATGGAGGCCCAGCTGTGGGGATGCTAGGGACATGCCAGGGCAGTGGCCAGAGGCCCCGATCCATCTGGATGTATAGGAAATAAAGTGAAACCACCGTCAGGCGTGGAGAGCCAGCCCGTGGAAGCACTTGATTTCTCTTAAAGCTTGCTAATTTCACACTGGGGAGGAAGCGAGATGCTAGGGGTTACAGAGTCCACACACATTTTACACAAAACAACGTCAGGATTTTCACTAACTATATTCCTCCTATATGATTTCAATAAGAAAATAAACAATTTCAAATGCTTAATATATTCACCAGGGAAAAGGGAATTGTTTTTTACTTAATCTGAGTTATAATTTTCCCATTAAAATCTACCCATATCAGGTGGGGTGCACAAAGAAATAACAATTATTTTTTAAAGTTTCGACTGTTCGGTTTAAGGATAGCTCTGAAAACACAATTTAGTTTGAAATTCAAGCTGTTTCATATCCTATTTAATCTTGTAAATTTCCTTCCCTTACAATACTCAGGTTGGAAGGGTGCCAAATTAGACCAGGAACAAATTTTCACCAACTTCATTTCAGTGCTTTATTTTTAGATTACATTAAAAACCTCATTAGGCTCCCTGAGGGACAGGAGTGTTAACCACTAACAGAGGCAGGGGAAAATAAAGGAAACGGAAAAATATGCTAAACTGTTCACAAGGAAAGCTCTCTTAAAACAGTTGGTCTGAAGTTGCTGGAAAAGCTGAAAGAAACTTACTACCAAGACCAGGTGAACAGCTTGAGCTCGGAGCTTCACTTTTACCCCAAGGCTAGGAAGGTACTCAGGCTTGTCAAAGTGGCATACCTCTGTTTTATGATTTCCAGCTGGGATTTGCGGGGGGGCGGGGTTTGGACGGAAGGGAAGGCAGCGACATCTTTCCAGACTGTAAGCGGAGTGTTCTGCGCTTTCCAACAGCCTCCATGTGCTTCAGAGTCTGCCGCGGACGGGCTACTAACTAGGCGGGCACACGCCAGACTGTGCAAGATGCAGTGGAGTGTTGGGTGAAACATAGAATTTATTCATGTATTTACATAATTTATAATTTTTAAGCAAGGCTCTCATAAATATAGACTACGACTTTACATATGCTAAGCAACAGATAACTGTGTTCCTGACCAAAATATTTGGGTTAAATAAAAAATTGACAGCATTTACACCACTTTCTTCACTTTCTTTTTCCTCCTTTTTAAACCATTGTTAGTCATTTTAAACATATGCAATTCAATTTATTCCAGGCAGCTTCTCTACCGCCACCATCCTGATCATGAGAGTTTATTAAAAAAGGTGCCAATAATGAGTTTGGTGACATGTACATGACAGGGTCAGAATGCAAACCTAGGGTTAGCCATGATCTGTTGTTACTGTTAATTTACTGTGTGTATCCTGGGCTAATGTATTCAACGAAAAGTGCTTTGGAGATGGAGGAGATGAAATCATTTCCATCAGTCCTATAAATAACCCATTTTAGCTTCAAATAATAATTGCCATCCCTTCACTTAACGATATCCTACCACATTTTAAATGACATAACTCCCTATAACAGTGGTAACGGGAAACCAAAGAAATTATAATCTCCACAAGGTCTTTTTTCCCCTCAAGAACCATGAAAGTGCTAATTTTCCCTTTACAAATGTTACATAAAATCTTGATTACAAAACTACTCAACAATTTAATCCTACCATCCATACAATTACATGTTCCTTTTCAGCGAGGTCAAAAGCCAACCGTGTAGTCCCTTTGTACACCAGAGAGTCTTTACATAACAGAAGTCCACAGACAAATATTGCTGCAGTCTTCAGAGAGGAAACTGAACTGGTCCAGTTCTGACTCTTTTTTGCACGCAGGAGACCCCAGGCCGGCTACGTGAAGCCTGGTGCGGGGCCCCCAGCCCTCCTGTTAGCGTGCAGGACCACCTACTTCAGCGTGGAGCCTGAGGCGGAGGTCCAGTCAGCAGCAGCTTCGCTTTGGCTCTGAAGGCTGTCTTCGGAGTTTGAAGCCCTTCCCGCCACACGGCGGGTTGGTGTCCGTGGATGGAATTCTTCGACCTAAACCAAGAGGGAAGGGGATGAGCTTTAACTTCGCAATTCTGCTCCTCCTCAGACACAACCATTCTGTAGATGCAATTTGACAGGTTTCATGAAAATAGAAACAGTTTAATTAACTTTAAAATTTGGAATGATTTTAGATTTACAGCAAAGTTGCCAAGACAAGATGGAGTTGCTGTATACCCCTCATCCGGTTTCCTCTAATGTTTATATCTCACGTTACCAGGGGCTTTTCTCAAAATGAAGAATTCAACATTGGTACATCGTTATTAACTCAACTCTCACTTTTTTTTAAGATGCCACCAGTTTTTCCATTAATGTGTTTCCATTCCAGGGCCCAAACAAGGATATCACATAGCATTTAGCACAATCTTTTTAATTAAAAAAAAAAATCCCATGTTAAAAACACCTTGTTTTGAGTAGGTAATAAATGCACAGAGGCCACCTTCCGGGGATAGGTGTGCACGGCCATGCATGGCACGCACACCTGTACCTGTCCCCTTCTGCAGCCCAGGCAGGAGCAAACAGTGTGCACAGTTCCCACCTCACTGCTCTCGCGTCTATGTCCTGGGGACTGTCCCACCACCGTGCTTGGAGAGCTGCTGCATTCTTTTTAAGAGCTCTGAGAGATTGCATTGTATGGATGTGCTGTAATTTATTTAACCATTCCCCGCCGATGGGTGTTTCGTTACTTTCCAATATTTTGATGCTATTAACAACGATGCAGAAAGTCTCTGTGAACCTGAGCATGTAGGGTAAATGAACGGGAATGGGAGAGCTGGGGCACGCTGTTCTGCTCCTGCCGATTCCCTGATGCACACACTGTATCCCCAGCGTCTACCTAGCACACGTGCAAGAAGGATGTGCAATTTAGATTTTAATAGCTGCTGCCAAGCTGCTCCCTGAAGAGGCCGTGCCACTTTATTCTGCCACCAACAATGTATGACGATGACCAGGTTTCACTGTGCTGCTCTGTGAAGCACAGTGCAACTCATCCAGCACCACCCTACCTGGTAACTTCAGGGTTGCTTCTTATACAGGGCTTTCCTGACCCCTGACCCTTTCTAACTCTCCGTCTCATACACTGAAATCAATCAGGATGTCAGAAGCACGCTGATATATATCTGTTTACGGAACTATCTCCCTCCAATTTGACCCTCAGCTCTTCAAGGGGAGAGCTGTCTCTCTCTTTGTTTCCAGGACCATCTAGCACAGTACCTGGCACTGAGGAATTTTGAAAACGTGGAAAGAACTGGCACGCGTCATTTTTGGCAAGAACAAGGCTGAGATGGGATCTGCCAGCTCTCAGGTCCTTGGACGTCAAGCCGGGAGCTTCCCGCATGGAGCAGCTGCAGACCTGCGTGGGTAGGACACGACACGGTGTCCGCAGGACTAGAGAGTGGCCCCCGTCATGTCCTACCACGGCTTTTCAAATCCTCCACATGCTGCTGTGAGTGAACGGCCAATTCATTTAAAAGCTTTAAAGCTTCTTGTCATTACATATTTCTCAACAAATGGATACTGGAAATACAGCTGGGACAACAGAGCCATCTCTGAAACATTTGCAAAAAAAAGCAGAGAACATCTTTATGTCCTGGAAACAGGCAACGATTTCTTTAACTGGAGCCAAAAAACGCCCACCATAAAGGAAACTAAGGACAAACGGGATGCTACTTAGACTAAAAACTCCAGTTCATTAAAGGAGTTGATTCAAAAAGAGAAGTCCAGCCGCACAGATCTTCCCAGCGCACACAGCCAACAACTGACTCACATGTAAAGTAAACTATGAATGTTAAAAAAAGGCAGGTAACCCGATGGGAAAACAGGTCAAACTTCCCAGGAGAGGTTACCATGATGGCACGTAAATTGTAAACAGACTCCTGGAAATGTGTTCAACTCTATTAACTGCCATGGACTCGCAGGTCACTACCCCCCACCAGAGATGGAGGGAGACCAGAGTCACCACACCACTGGTACGAGCAGCAACCGGCACCACCACGGTGAAGACCATTCGGCAGTGAACTTGCACTGAGCATTTGCACAGCCAGTACCTGGCATTCCTCTCCTGGGGGTCAGCATGCCTAACAAAACGTGCGTGTCATGTACACACTGGACATGAGGCAGTGTCCAGACATACTAGCTGTTCAGCAGCTCTAAGCTGGGACTACCACCCAAATACCTATCAACAGGATGGAAACTACACTACTGTAGATCTTCTCTGCTGCTCCTGGCTCTGACAGTGACACACATGCTCACACACACACACACACACACGCGCGCGCACACACACGCATGCTACAGTGATGAGGATAAATTGTGCAATGATACAAATGAATCTAAAAGTGTGCTGTGTGTAGAGATAAAAGCAAGCCTGACACAAGAGTAAAGACAGTGTGTTGTTAGAAATCTGAAGTATGAAAACAGGCAAAACAAATCTGAGGAGCTGGCAGTCAAGATGGCGGTGCCTTCCCTTGCGGGGTAGGCGGGAGGCGTCTGGGGGGACCCTGGATCTTGACCTGAGTGCGGATTACAGGAGCATACTTAGTGTGAAAATTCCTTGAGCTTTCTACTTCTGACAGGAACATTTAGACTTCAATAAAAAGTGAGCATGCAGGCGCTCTGCTAACGCAGTTTTACAACAGCCAGTAAACGATCAAGTCAATTTACATCTCTCTAAATTTTTTCTAATCTTTGTGAACACGTATTTTTTATCTTTCAGTTAAAATGAGTATGTGCATGCTATTTTTGATATACGAATTCTCATTGTTGGTCTAGTTCACTACCTTCCTGTTTTGAACACTGCTGGAGTAAAGAACACTCACAAATGGTAATGATTTTAGTACACTCGTGACACCACACGCTTATAGACAGTTTAGTTTGAGCTGTGAAGGATTTGTGAACGGCCTCATGGTGCCGTTCAGGAGTGCATCTGGGTAGCTCCCAGTTACAGTCTCGAAGGCAGGGAAGGGCAGGCTGCACCTTGGAAACGAAGGGGCGGGGCTGGAGGCTGCGGGGCAGCAGCCCACTGACCACACCTGGCCAGGGCAGATGGGCTTGGCAGCGCTTGCGCTACTCTGGAAACATCGAATTACATGTGACTACATCAAAACAATGGGGTGTTACATAAAATTCAGATCTCGGGTTCTCTGAACCAAAAACAGCAAAAAATAAAAATAAAACCCAAAATAACCCCAGCAATTGGGCAACCAGAGGCTTCCAGTCCAGTGTGGCCCCATTGTGGGAGCTGGGCCCACACTTGTCAGATGTCAGGGTCACCAGGGCTTTCTGCCGCAACCCTGAATACCAGGGGCGCTGGCATTCATGCCCCCCCCCCCACGATGGCCAGGCCCTCCCGGCGCCACCCAGACGACACATCCTAGTGATTGAGTCCACCAGCCCTGACTCGTGCCTGGATGCCTTTCTCCTGTTCTCCGTCTGCAGGTCTGACATGTCCAGTGAACAGGAACCCCGGTCTCTGCACGGCCAGCTCAGTCTGATCTCAGCTCCAATGTCTCACCTCCAGAGGCCTTTTCCCTGGGCACCTGCAGACACTTGCACTTCGCCCCATATTATTTTCTTCCCCTCACGGCTTATCATCCAAAAGGACCTTAGTTCTTCTTGTGCTCATTGTCCCTGCAGCAGAATCTGAGCTCCAGGGGAGCAGGGGCCGTGCCTATCTTGTGCCTATCTTGTTCACCGTGGTCTCCCCTGAGCCTGGAACAGTCCTCAATAAATATTTTGATGCATTTGAATGAAATGAATAAACATAGATACAATCTGTAGAGGATCCCGAAGGCATGCAGCAGCCTCTCCCCTATCCAGTGTCATCCTATTAACACTCCTGGAAAGGGGGAGGGGGTGGGGTGGGGAACGAGGTCTTAACCTTTTACTCACCTGTGTTAATTTTTGAGGGTTTGCTTATAGTGGAATCCCACATGCATTTCATTTCCCCTTATTTATTTTGTTAATTTTCAATGACTTTGGACGACTAATTGACACATATCAAGAGAGAAAGAGAGAGCGATGGCTTTGGGGCCCTGGGCGTTATTTACTCAGTGGCTGCATTCTTAATAGAAGGGCCACCATGGTCAGGCGGCGGCTCTCCAGCAATTACCACACGACAGGAAAACCGCTGTCTCTCTTACAGTCTCAAATCTCGTTCCACTGAGAACAATATCAGAGACTGGTCTGCATGAGGAGGGAATTCTACCCAACAAGATAATTCTGGTTTAAGTCACTCTGCACAGAGGGAACCCGTAAGGCACAGAGATACTCACTAATTTCTATAAAGAGTTCATTTATGTTTATCGCATTTTTTGCGCTGGTCTCTACAAAAATTGCATGGATGGAGTCGGCGTAGTCCTTAGCATCTCTCTCCATGACTTCTCTGGAAGGCAACAATCGCAAATCAGAAATTCTACCCGGCAAGAGTTGAATGTTAGCCCCACCCCCAGTAATTCAGCAGGTTTATGATGACGAAGGATGACACGAATGACTGCTGAAGCCCCCCCGATTACACCACGTCTGTGGCTACACAAGAAGCTGCACCATGCAACGCATGTAGTGGGGCGATCAGGGCACGGCAGGGGGTTCTCCCCCCTTAAAGTAAAGCCCTCGCTTTGGGAATTATGGAAGTGGTCCACAGAAATGGCCAATAAATGCACTTTCCGAAGAAAATGCTTTCCCCATTCAAATATCCAATGTCATGGGAGCTGGGGGCTATGCTCATCCCAGATAACGTCAAGTTAAATGCAACCAATGCTTAAATAAATCACACACCTGTCTACTATACACATAATCTAATTAGCTCCAAATGCCTGAATTCTTAATTTTACTTTGCAACTTCAGGACTCCCAACTACACAATGGAAAGGAATTTTTCAATGTCAGAGATAAAATAAAAGCAAGATTCTTATGTTGGATATTGCTCTGTAAGGAAAGGAACACAGACCAGCACTGCAGCCTCCTGGTCTAATAACTTACCTTACATCGATAAGATCACACTTATTTCCTGCAATGGCAACTACAATATTAGGAGGGCCGTGCTGTCGAAGCTCTTTTACCCAGTTCTTTAATGTTGAAAATGTCTCCTGTAACACAAAGGAGGAGAGCCACTGGAGAGCTAAGCAATCAAGAGAGTTTCAAAATAGTCTAAAGAATAAGGTATAGAAGTCTTACTTCTTTTGTGATATCATAAACAATTATGGCTGCAGCCGACCCTCGATAGTACATTGGTGCTAAGGCACGGAACTGCAGAGAAGGGGGAAAAGGAAACAAAATGGGGAAAAGTGGTTAGGTATGTTTCTTACTAGACTTTTTAGCCCATTATCCCTGCACAAAAGGTAATCTTTCTCTTAAGCCAAAGATGACATGATGCTTTAAAGCAAATGAAGCAGTGATTACCAAAGGAACAACTTTTCATGTAACACTGAAATGTCTCTCAGAAGATACTTCAGAATACAGTTTTACAGGAACTAAATTATGGTGCTGCCCCAGAAGGTCCTGCCTCTTGGGGAGGGGGGGGAGCCTGAGAGCTTCCAATGCAGTGCAGTACATATTAGAGAAAAAAAGAACAAAAAGAAAGGTTGCAAGCAAGAGAGCACCACAGAAGAGGGAATGGCGTTGCTGGGTGGAAAAGACGGGACTGACTTCCATGGGGCGAGGGCCAGGGGGCACACAGGGAACAAAGGCTATGGCGTTCGCTTTCCTTTTAGATTGGTAACATCCTTTACAAGGTGTTTTTGGGACGGTAAAACTCATATAGAGAAGTGCAGACATCTTAAGTTTGATAACTGTCTTAAGTTCTGAAGAACTAACATGGGTCTGTATACATCCGTGTAGCACCACTCCACTAAGACAGAAAACATTTCTATCAACACAATGGTCCCCAATGCTCCTCTTATCAGACCCTTCTTTAACCTTGATAATAACCTTTGTCTTCAAATCTAATTTTTTGGTATTTATTGATACTGATAGGACCACAATGGTTTTCTTTGGCTTATGCTTTGCACTGACTACCCTTTTCCATTCTCTTCTTTTCAAGCCATCCCTGTTTTTATTTAAGATAACCCTCTTTTAAGTAGCACATGGTCTGATCCTGAGTTTTCATCCAATCTGACAACCTCTGCCTTTTAAGTGGAACATTCAGTTCCTTTACATTTAGTGTACTTACTGATATATTTGGTCTTACTGATATTATGTCTACCATTTGCCATTTGCTTTGTGTTTGTTCCTTAAAAAAAAAGCCTCTGTTTTTCCTTTACTCCCTCTTTTGCATTAACTTAATTTTTTTTTACTATTGGGTTGTCGGAAAAGTCATGATTCATTTTTGCAACGAAAAACATAAAAAAAAATTTCACGACTTTTCCGACAACCCACTATTTAATTTTAACATATTAGTTCGTCCATTGGCTTTTTAGCTATACCTTCTTGTACTTTTTAAGTGGTTGCTCTTGTAACTACAATATATTTTTCCCACAGTCTAGGGTTTAAAATGTACCACCTCAGGTAAAATAGAAGAGTCTTGTGGGAGTCTAATTCTTCTATCCCACCATCCTATGTGCTATTGTTGTCAAATATTTTAAATCTACATACACTAGAAACTATATAATCCAATGTTATAATTTTTGCATGAAATAGCCAGTAGTCTTTTAGAGAAGTGGAGAAGAAAAAAAGATAAGACTTTTGTATTTGCCATTTCCAGAGGTTACTGTTTCTTCCTATGGATCTGTCACCATCTGGTGTCGTCCCCTTCAGCCTGGAAAACCTCCTGGTGCGGCGGCTGCCAACTCCTCCTAGCTTCTAGTTTTCTAAAAATGCCATTACTTTGACTCCATATTTGAAAGACAATTTGGGCAGATAGACTCATTTTGCTTTCAGCACCTTAAAGATATGGTTCCATGGTCGTCTGGCCTCCACTGTTTCTGTGGGAAGTTAGCCATCACTTGTATTGTTGTCCCCTGTACATCATATGTCTGTTATCCTCTGGCTGCTTTCAAGGTTTTTCTCTTCAGCTTTGGTTTTCAGCAGTTTGACTATGATATACCTAGATGTGGTTTTCTTTGTACGTATGGATTTGTTGAACTTCTCGGATTTGTGAGTTGCTTTGTTTCATCAGATTTGAGAAATTTTCAGCCATTATTTCTCAAAATGTCTTTTTTTTCCCTGTGCCCCTCACCCCCTTTCACGCCTGGGTCTCCAGTTATACAAATGATAGATGTTTGAATTTGCTCTTATGGTATCAAGAATATGTTCATTGTTTTCCCACTCTTTCTCTGTTCTTCTGATTGGTTAATTTTTGTCAGCCATCCAGTGGATTTTTCACTTTAGATATTGCAGTTTTCAGTTTTAGCATTTCCATTTGATTGTTAGTTTCCATTTTGTGGGAGCTTCTCCATCTGGAGTAAGTAGATACGACTACTTTTCCTCAAATCTTTGAGCATACATAAACTATCTTTACCTTCTCAAAGGGGAGGGTTGCTAACCACTCATCCTGAGACTGGTTTCACACCCGGATAGGGCAGCTTGACGTGGGTCTGCCTTTGGTCCTCGGCCATGGTCTCTGCTCTGAAGCTTCCATGGAAGCCCACGGTGTTTACCAATCCCTCCAGCACGGCGGGACTGGACTCCGCGCAGTGTGGCCATCCCTCTAGCTGCTGCTTTCTGTTGGGGCCCTTGGTGCAGTCCCTGTGCATTCACGATCTGGGGGTCAGGCGAAGACTCGAAGGGACTGGATAAGCGGATGCGAGGGCTTCCCTCCTTGGTGAATCCATCTTTTCTGGATTTGCCTCCTCGTTTCGCAGTTTCTCTCTGGCAGCCTTAGTCGCTGTCCTTGAATGTCACAAGCTAAAAGGTGGGCTTTCTGAGTCCTAGCCACCCTGTGCCACGCGGACTGGGGAGTGCCCCCGGGGGAAAAGCTACAAAACTGAGTGTCACCCAGCCGAGTTCTCTTTTCAGTCTCTGGCTGCATCTGGCTGCTCGGCAAGGCCTTCAGATAGTAGTTTTGAAGGTGGTGTCCAGAGTGTACACATATAAGTATTATCTGTGGGAGGGTGAGTCCGTTACAAGGCATTCCACCATTACTGACACTGAAACTCTTCGTGTCCTTTTGTGTGAAGAAAGAAGGTGGCAGCTTAAAAAAAAAAAACTCAGAAGGGTATCAGCACATCTCTGCTCCAATCTGGCTCTAGATCAGGGTTCCGCAAACTTTTCCTGGAAAGGGCCAGGTAGTTAAGTATTTTAGGTTTTGTGGGTCATTTGGTCTTTGTTTCAACTACACAACTCTACTATTAAAGAGTGAAAGCAGCCATAGATACTCTGCAAACAAACAAGAGTGGTGTTTGTGTTCCAATAAACCTTTATTTACAAAAACGGGCAGCAGGCTGGATGTGGCCCACAGGCCACAGTGTTGACCTTGCTCAAGATGCTAAGTTACTACACTTGTTCCTGATTCAGACACGAGGACAGCTCCTCGCCCGACTGCTGTGACAGCAAATGAGTCTGTGCCTTCCTGCAGCTCGCGCCTCTGGAAACAGTCACCAAGACAGACCACATTAAGATTCAGGACCATAAATCCTTAAGGACTGGAGGCAGCATCTACTCGACTCTGGTTAAGCAGCTTTCTTTTACACGATCACAGACAAGTGTGTGAAACGTTGCTGCCACATTTATGGCGTCTTTAATGACACATATTTGTGGTGCTTATTTGGCCCATACTACTGTAGGAATCATTATTAGTGAAGGGTGATCGGTGGGGAAAATGTCACTAAAAATGAATTTATTAAGGGTAGAAAATAGAGAAAAAATGTCTGACAAAGGCTCTATCTTGAGAAAATAAATGTAAAATTATAAAAACAAGTTTCATTTTATCTGGTGTTTGAAAAACCTTAGATTTCTTACTGCAACCAGGAGCTAGTTTCCCGAAGGAATGCTGAACCGCAGTTGATTAATAATCTGACTGTGATTCTTCTGATAGAACTCTCTGCTAGCGCAATACGATAGCTTTCATTTCATTTTTGTTTCTCCTAGTCAAAAAAAGGGTAATTTTTACAAAAACATTTGAGGACTCCATCAGTTTCCTTAGGCCTCTTAATCCTTCGATACACAAACCATTATCTTCTAAGGCACTTCTATCATCATCCTGATCAGTACTTTTCTCTGCATTTAACAAGATCCCTACCATCAACGGCTTTGCATGACAATTGCAACCGGGCTATGAGAAAGACAACCCATCTGTCAAAACTACATACAGCAACAGGTGCAAGGGTCAAAATGCAGAGGATGTTTGAACCGTCAGTTCATCAAAAAGGGTTTTCCTTTCATGATGACTTTTGGTTCCACAATGCATCTTATTATTACAGAGAACAGAACAATAAATATGCAAATACCAGGAATTGATAATCAGAGGCATGCAATACTCACCTGGTAAAAGCAGGCAGAGGATCTGTCCTCCTATGTGCCAGAGCAGGGTTGGCACTCAGTTGACATAAACCCACTGGCATCAACATCGTGTGCCAGGGGCTGAGAGCACACACATGAAGACAATCCCTACCCCCAAGGAGCTCACAGTGTAACGGCAGATAAACAAGTAAGGAAACAGGTGACAATCCCATGGATGACGGCCATCAAAGATGGTTCAGGATACAAACAAATATGCTGAAGAGTTTATCTGCTGATTGGTCCAGCCAATATCTGGGCATCGGCTGTAGGGCAGGCACTGTGCTAGGCACCAAAACACAGCCGGGTGCCAGATACTGTGCCTGCTGTCTGGGGTGAGAAACTGCTAATACAGGTAGGTAGACAGATGTCTAATGACAACATAAGATGAGGGTCCTGAGGAAGATCGGGGCAGTGATGGAGAATGACTGGGGCTCTGCCTAGGTACGGATGGGGCTGGGCACACTGCAAGCGCAACAGGTAACCTGAGACCAAAGGTTGGTCAGGAGCTGCTGGCAGTGCGCCCAGTGGAGGGAGGGGGACGACGGACCAGGACGGCACCAGGAGAGCAGGCCGTCCAGGCTTCGTAGGCTGCTGTTCAGAGCGTGGCTATTAGAGGGGAAGCATGGGCAGTGACTGAGGGTAGTAAGCAGGAAGATGATAAAGCAGCGTCTGATTTATGTTTCCAAGAAACTCCTCTGGGTCCTGTAAGGAGACATGATGTAGGGTGGCGGGGCTGGGAAGAGAAAAGTGGGGAGACGGGCTAAGACTAATGGAACATGCCGGCGAGAGTGAGCGGCGGCTGAGAGCAGAGTGCAGCAGTGGAGATGGAGGGAAATGAATGGGTTTGAGAGACAGCTGGAAGATGGCACTGATGGAGCAAACACGCGGGGAGGGAGGAATCAAAGCCAACCCCAGATTCGGGTGTGAGCATCGCAGGCGCACGGCAGTGTGGGTCCTTATCGGACGGGGAACAGCGGGATGGTTAGGGAAGCCTCCCTTGAGGTGACATCAGAGGTGAATGTTGTAGGCTGAGTGTGAGTTTTCTAGGCTAAAGGTGGGAGGGGGCATTCCAAGCAGGGGGAACAACAGGATATGGGCATGAGGGGATGAAGCTGTACGCACACTGGAGACCTAGACGCAGCTTGGTCCTGGGGGATAAGTGGTGGGGTGGTGCAAATGGACAGTGTGGCCGAGGCTGGCCCAGGACCAACGGGCAGCAGAAGAGCTCAGAGGTGTCCTGGTCGACGCTCAGCATCTCAAATGACCTGGGACCAGCTGTTTGATGCTTAGCTTCTCTTAAACGTGGTCACCTGGCGACCTTGGCGGGTACTCTTGCGGGGCAGCAACTGGCTGGAGGGAGTGCTGCCCAGCGGGGGTCCTCGCCCGTCTCCCAGCACCCGGTTCTGCTGGCCAGCTCTCTTGAGCCCTGCCTGCCCGCCTCATTTACATTCCCTGCACGAGCCCCTGGCTAAGACAGGGCTCAGGGATGGTGTTTCAGGTAGGGGTGAGGCAGGAGTGCCTCTCAGAGCAACTCTTCCTGGTTCAGAATCAATCAGAAGAGGGGAAAGGAAGAGGCAGGCAAACCAGCTAATCACAAAGCTAACCTGAATCCTGCTCTTACGGCAGAAGGAGGGGAGAGGCATAAACCCCTGTGCTATTTATTCTTTTTTATGGTCTAGAAAAAGATGCTCTGCATCGCGGTGTACACCAGGCCAGGCTCTGACTCAAGCATAATGGCATCTGTATGATAGCATGATGCTTTATGACGAGGGTTTTGCTGTATCATCAAATACATGGGAGGGGGGGGTAACTGAAATTCGGGGTTCTGTGAAAGGGTACATATATTACAAGTATGGAGAGCCGCAGCGCTCTGGGCTCTTAGGACAGACACCAGAGCCGTGCCTATAGGTCTATGCAGGAGGCTCTGTGGGAAGCAACACTTGGGAAGGATGGAAGAGTGGGGCCAGCAGGTCTCGCTGCCCGAAATGCTCCATTCTAGCTGCACACCGCAAACAAAGCAGAAGATGGGAAATGGGGGGCTAAGCGGGTGTATCTCACGTGAGTAACCGGATACAGGGTGTGACATCCAGCATTAAAAAACCCCAGCAGAAACCACACAGCAAACGTCCGACATTAAATCTGTACAAATGTGTGGTGTCTCCACCTAGGACAACAGTAATAGCTTGTTTTGTTTGCCTCCATTTGTCTGTGGTGATTCTTGTCGGGTTTTACACCACAGCGGTATCTATGCTGTCTCAGATAAGACCCTGATGACAGACTATTTCTCCTGATTACTTCTGGTATACTTTTAAGAGCTTAAGATAGCACTGTGCATCCATCAGATGTTCTGTGTTGATAGTACTGTTTGAAAACAAAATTAAACAGCAGCTGAATAATGGGTGGCTGCCAGACGCACCTTGACAGGGAAATCAGACTTAGGGCCCACCAGCGGGAAAACGAGGCAGCGGGCAGGCGAATGTTCCCCTCCCCACCTTCCCACTCCTGTTTGATTTGGGGTGCCTGCACTGGGGTGCTGCGGGCCAGGTCCCATTCGGGTTCAGGCTCTTCTGTAAGCAGATAACCGTCTCGGACAATTTTATCATCAGGCATTTATTAAGTAGCTATCTCAAGGCACTGTGTTAGCTCATCCATTTCACTTACATCTCCAACTTTACATGCTGTAAAGTTCCCTCTTTAGCTTTTAAAAGGCGGCTATAAATGAGATGTGCTTAACTCTCCCTTTCCACCACTAATTCTTTTATATCTTTGCTAGAGGATGGAGCCCCAAATTACACACCATGCTCTGAGCGGGATTTTGTCAGGCCTGTTAGTCAGCATTTACTTTAAGACACTAAAAGGTACAAAACGCCCTCAGCGCCCATCATCACTTTCTTCACCAGTGGCCTCTGCGGCTCCAATTGAAAAGAAAAAGGCTGGTCCGCATAACTGGAAACAAGCATCTCAGCACAGAGAAGGGAGCACCGCGAAACGACAAGGGCATCGACAGCTCAGTTGGAGCTTTAACTTGGGCCTCAGAAAAACACATAGTAAATTAAAACGTGACTTACTCGTTCTTGTCCAGCTGTATCCCAGATTAGGAATTTATGTAGCTCATTTTGATATTGGACAGTCTTGGTCATAAAAGATGCCCTATAAAGAAAGACCTCAATGATCAGAACACAATTCTTTAAAGCATGCTGCCAGCCCCAGTCGAAAATATCACTTAGACTTAACGCTCCAACTCCCGCTCCACACTTTATCTTAATGGTGGTCCTCTCTGGAGTGAGATGTACATACTGGCTGCATAGTCTGTGTCAAAATAAAGCAGGAGGCACATCTGCCCAACAGAAAGAAAGTTCTCTGGCATGTGATTGCCTAAGCTCTATACCCAAAGACCCAAGAGACCATTTGGTAATCCAGACAGTACCTGCCCTGGTAACAGAAGGAAGCTGTTATTCCAAAAGATGGTAGCATGAGAAAACTTCCTATAAACAACCTATGTGTCCAGGAAACGAGCGCACTAGGAAAACTCTTAGGCCATTTGGCTCTGTCCTCTCCCACGCCCAAATCACAGGGCCACAGAAACAGCCACACAGGGCTGGTGTGACACTAGAGTTACCAACACTAAGGCACCAAACCAGGAGCTGGAAGGTGGTTGGAGAAGCAGCGCCCTGACGACCTCCTGTGTTTCGGCAATGAAATAGCCCCTCAGCTGTCCTCATGGGCCACAGCAGTCATCAGGGCCTGCCCCAGCCCGCAACAGGAAAGGAGTGATGGTGTGCAGGCCATATCGCTCATTCTGAGGGCCCACTCTGCCCAGGGGCCTTTGAAGGCAGGGGCTCCTATTCATGTGGGTGTCTCATACTTTCGGGACAATCTCTGAGGAGCCATGGTGGCCCTGAGCACATGCTGGTCACCCTTGGGGCTTCCGGGAAGTCCTGCCCTGGAGTGGGGCCTGGCTCCAGTACCATCTTCTCCTCCCCACCTCACCCAGGAGCTCCCTCCTAGGACGTCCTTTGTCTCCCAAGTCTCCCCAACGCCTCCGATAGCCCCGAGATGATTATGTCTTCTTTTCTACTGGGCAGTAAGCCTTCTGGGGCCAAGGGCCAAGCTGCACTCCTGGAACCACCCCTACTCATCTTAATCAGGACGAGGAGCTCAAAGGCTAGACACCTTCAAATACGCTGGATGCCCGAAATGGTTCTGAGAGTCAAGCGACAGATACGCAAACTTCAAGAAACTGCAAGTTGAAATTGATAGAAGGACTCGCTAAAAAAATCACTGAGGTTTCTAGTCAAGATGGCGGGAAGTGTGTGTGTGTTTACAATATTAAACATATTTCTAACTGCGGACTTGAAAACAAATAAAATAGTTAAAATTTGGGAAAAAAATCACTGAGCTTAGCAAAGTATCAGAATGCTGTTTTAAAAACTTAAAGTCTGCTACAATCGAATTCCTCGTAATATTTATATAAATGTATGATTAGCAAGCAGCCTCCAAAATAGTGACTGTGAGGAGGAAGGGAAAGTGAGCTGGGAAGCAAGACCACATTTTTGGATAGGTGCTGCTGACCAGGTATTTATTAACTGGAAATCGACTCCGTGGTATCCTTAGTAAGTGCCTTATGCATAGAAGGTGCTCAATAAATGGCTATTGTATCAAGAACTTTAGGCAACTCGCCCTGATTAAATCAGGACGTGCAGCATGATTTCTCACTTAGGAGAGATCTAAGCATTCAAACAGCCTTGTTTATTGTGAAGATTAAATAATATGATGTATGTGAAAGTGCTTTGTAAATTGCAAAGCACTACACCTATACAAGGTATTATTATTATCATTATTATTATTATTTAAAGGCAGCTCCGGGAAATGTTTTAGTTTAGGCTTTACAATCAGTCCTAAAAGCTTGCAACTCAACTCTCCATCAATTATGGCCCTGGTGTTCCATTTAAGAGTGACAACAGGCATCCAATAGAGGTCTATTAACAGAGCCAATGTATTCAACACATCCGTTTTGGCTGCTCAAAGAACAGGAGAAGAAATAAATATACTTGGAGGAGACAAAGCTGAGAAAGGTATATGTAACAATTAAAAGGAAATGTTTCATTATAGGATTAGAATTCACTGAAGTTCAACCTACCTGCCAACCATTTTCCTTTCAGTGAAAGCATTGATTGATTATTTGGACAGGAGAAAGACAAAATGGCTGCTGTCACGTAAGGGGAATATCTGAAAGGATTAAACCCAACTTCCTGTCTCTGACCCTAGGCCGTCCTTCCAGCTGTCCCCCATCGACACTCTCAACACACCCTTCCCATCTACACCAAGGTTTTCTTGTGCTGGAAGCTCTCTACTTGGCTTTTCATCTGTCGGCTTCTTGTCCTTTCATCGCCAGCATCACTAGCTCACACGCCAGTTCTTCAGGAACCCTGTCTGTCCTTCTGTCTCAACCACCCAGAAGAGTTCCACGCAGCCTCTCCGCCTGCTTCTTCTATCTAGTGGTGGGGTGGCTTCCTTGCTGGAGGAAAGTCACAAAGCTATGCAGCCAGTGTGAAGACTACCCTCTGTTAGCTGGGCCTGCCTTGGACCTCTCATCCTACACGACAACTATTCCACGTTCTTAAGACTCCGTTCCAGCTCCCCATCACTTCCTGCTTACCCTCCTTTTCAGGGTAATAGCTTATTTTAGCCTTCTCAGAAAAAACAGAGATTAGAAGGCCTAAGTGCCCCACCATATCCCCCTGAACACTCCCAACTTGAGAATAAACACATTTCCATCCGCACTGGCTGTGATTTTCACTTTTCTGACTGGCTGAGTCGGAGAGGTCTTTTCTTTGATTCATCACCACCGAGAACCTGGATCACGACCCCAGCACACCTGCTGCCTGGGCCAACACAGTCATATATTGGTCGTATCTTCCCAGTCCCAAACCCTCCCAATTGTTCCTGTTTCTGCCTTCATACCAACTGTCCCTTTCCCTTGAATGCTTTTCCACGGGCTTTCATGTGGCGAGATGCTCGTCATTCTTTAGGTCTCAGGTCACTTGCCAAAGGTCACAGAAAGCTGTGAGGTCCACGCAAACCAGGCTGCTTCCCACCCCGACTTCACTCTGCAACACACACACCATCCGTTTTGTCTTCAGTGCACCTATTACAATGTCTGATTAGCTCATTTATGGTTTTTATTATTAGTTTTTTAATTCACCTGTTCAGTGTCCCACTCACCCACGAGAAACAGGAGCTCCGCGAGGACAGGGACCCCACTGCACTTCTTCCCTGTGACAGGGCTGTCCTCCTCATCTCCCTCCTCTGTGCTGTCCTACAAGCCTGACAAATATTTATCACGTTGCCCATCAACCACTTTGCTTTCTTGACTCCAATGGTTTAGGGTGTGTTGGCCAACCACTTCCTGAAGCACAAAGTGAGAAGTGCTACTCAAGTGCACCAAGGGCTGAGATAGAGATGACCCTGGTCTTTCACTGTAGCCAGGTGTGTGGCCTCTAGGGTGAGAGGGATGTGGTTCAACTAGCGCACGGCTGACCGTGGCCAGGAAGTCCTTCCTGTGCGCTGGGCCACCAGCTCTATCCCCTATGCTAGGCGACAGGCGAAGTCCAGGGTTGTAGGGAAGAGTCACCGTGTCCTTCCATCACTGCTAAGGGAGAAGTCTGGTACCTTCTGGGCTCTGTCTGCCACGGGCTCATGTGTTGGGTCAGGTGTTCTTCCCCACCTCCAGGTCCCAGCTCAGCTGGCTATGCCTTTAAGAACCTTTTCTCCTTCTCAGTGTTCGGATTTGGTTCATCTATGGATGGTAACACCTGGACGCAAGGTCACACAAGAGATGGGGTATTGCCTGGCGTCGCTCCCAACTGGTCCCTAGGGAGCTCTGGGTTAGCCGGAGGGTGGGGGAGACACACACACACACACACACACACAAAGGGCCTCCTACTGGGCTCACTTGAATGAATTCCTTCCCACAGCTTCACATTTTTATCTGTTGAAAACAGCACTTTTCTAAATCTGACTGACTTTAGCTTAATTATACAATCTAAACACCATCTCACACTTAACATGGTAAAGACAGGGCTCATTTCCACCCCACCCCCACAAGAGCCCCAAATTCCAAGTTCTCAATCAGAACATGAGGTCTGTCTTCCACAGAACTGAAACCTATCTGTAACGATAGTCTATGTCCTTTGTTACTTGCATCCAATTTTGTAGAGCTGTCTGGTTCTTCATTGTATACTTAATCTACACTTGACCCTCAACCCCTGAAATAAATTCATAAATTGGACCCTAATCTTCAAACGGGGCTACTACATTTTTCCCTCCCACTATCACTTGGTCTCTAGGATCACTCCTTCAACATTCAAGTTAAATGATGCGGAGGGTATGATAACTTCAATATCTTGCTTTTTGAAAAACTGGCAATGGCTTCCTGCCATCCAAATGATACATTTTTATTTCCTAGCCTGCCATTTACTTGTCTGATAACCTTATTTTTCACTACTAAACCACCTCTCTTCACTCTGCCTAGGCAGATCTTATTACCTCTTTAATCTAAAATCCCTACTAGCATTATTTCCTAAAGCTAGAATGCCTTTCATATACGTCTCCATTTTTCATGACATTCTAAAAATATGACTGTCACGCACACCCCGCAGTCTGATCTTTGGTCAGAGTACGTGCTCCCAATGAAAATACTTGCCACCAGGTGTTTTAAAATTTCTTTAAGTGCAGTGGACTTGTTTAGCTCTCACAGTCACAGGTGTGCCTTGCCATCACTTCCCGGTACCTCTCTTGGCTGTAAGCCCTTTTCTTGGGATGGCACGTGGGATGCAGTCATCCCCATATGATATATGGTGCCTTTTAAGGATGAACAGCTCAGTACACTTAAAAAATAACGAAGGACTGTGATTTCTAAACAACTCTAAGCCTCACACAAACAATGCTTGGATCTCTGGGTTACATATACTGATAGAAACACCACTGAGTAAACCAATATTGAGACATAAAAAGACCAAAGGTACGTGAAATCTGGCAGTTCCTCTACTGGACATGCCAAAGGGTCTTCAGGAGAGTTTAGGATGGTGCAAGAATTTGTCAGGTGCTCAGTGAGACGAGCTGAATATACGGGCACTTCTATCTTATAT